AGGTGGTGGTGGCGGGGGTTGTTGAGGTAGTGAATGTGGTGCTGCAAGTGATGGAGTTGGATGTGAAAATGGAGGTTGTGTCATTTTTTAAAATGAATGATGGTATTTTGGGAATTAAAAAATTCATTAAATGTTCATGTATGCTTCTTTTGAAAACAGGCTTGAAAAGAAACCCGAGTCTGCTTTTAAAAGCTGCTGTCAAAAGGCCACTATTTTTAAAATAATCAGAATATTTTATTTTTACCAAATACCTTAAACTGCATAACTTTAAAATGAAGCAGACTTTTGGCCCAAAAAAAGCAATCCCAAACGAGGCAGTATAAAAGTTTCTAGAATTGCTTTTGTACGAGTTTTTTAAAATTTCGACATCTTCTTTGTTCATATAATTGCTTTTCACTTGCTTCTGAGTCATGGCTTCTGCCATATCCTTGAACCATAAGATGTTTTACCTCTTTCAAAAAATATTAAAGCCTAAAGATATCATGATTTTCATTCCTAGCATCCAGGAGAGAAAGTCGGGAATATAGGAGCATCTACATGATTTTGCAACGATTTATCAAAAATTTCAACTTAAATAGCAGCAAACTATTGAGACAACAGTCTTCGTCGCCCAATCAGATTTGTTACTCAACGCCCAAGAGCTCAGGGTAGAAGGAAATCAAAGATTTGACACAGAAACCAGGAATATTTGTTACTTGTTCAAACAAAACCTAGGGCTTTTTCCCGACATAGAAGTTTAGCAAGATTCCATAAAGAACTCTCATCAGAACAATCAAGTCTACGTTGCTAGTAAATACCAAGACACATAAACTAAAAAAATAAGAACAGAGATTGGCAACACAACTGCCATTCACCAACATAAACACCAGTTGCTTGCAAGTAACCAAAACTTTGAAGTTCAAGCATCAACAAACAAGAGCCATCTCCGATCAACGCAACCTCCTAGCTTCCCTCTCAGACTCGAGCAAGGTAAGGATATCCCCCTCCCTCACTGGTCCCTTGACGTTCCTCATGATGAACCGGTTCTGGTCATCCAGAAACTTGACTCTAACTTGAGTCACCTGCCCACGAGATCCAGTCCGACCCATAACTTTCACCACCACAGCATGCTTCACAGTGGAGTCCATTCTACACGCAGATACAAAAGGAAAATTAGCAAGAGAACGCTCTTGTAGCACTCTGCCGCCACGATGGTGGTAAATTGGAAAGCAACAAAGTCAAGAGGCCAGACTATTCTATTAAGCATTACGATTGGAAATAGAACACGAGTTATAAACTACAAAAACAGAGCAAAGAACTAAATGGGGTATCATAATTTCATCTTATTTTCCGATAACCAAATCCTCGAAAACTATCAGAAATTGTCCTACAAAACACACTTCAATTCCATAGCACATTAGTAAATCAAACCGAAACAGCAAACAAAAGCCAACTACAAGCTAATTACAATTTTCAATGTACATGAACACAGACAGAACATAAGTCATAAGTTCTTTTTACCCCATAAATCTCCACTTTGATTGATGCCATAAGGAAAGCTGCAATCAACCAGATCTAATTCCCTAAACAAATAATGAGCAGAAATCTTGATTTATACAGTCATGAAAGTTTGATATGATTCCCTAATTCCATGAACACTTTTCTTATCTTATTTTTAAGATCTAAAAACAACATAACAACAGGCATACAGATCTGAATTTATGAGTTTTGGGTTGAGTAAATAATCCAGCCAAAAACGCAAACAGAGATTGAAAGTTTCAGGGAATAAATCGCTCAATAAAATTAAATAAAAATGCAAACAGAGATTGGAAATAACAATATTGAAGATTAAGCATTTACAGAAGAGTGAGAAATTCACCTTTGGTAGAGAGAGAGTCTTCAATGGAAAAGTGACGAGAAGGAGTGTGCGCGGCTGCGTCAAGGGGAGAAAAAAAATGAGTGCGTCTGCGTTTAGGGCACTAGGGTTCTCAAGGTTTTTCTTTTATAGTGAATTTGTTTTTTCTTAAAAATGTAATATTTTATTTATTTTATGGATTGCTTATTGAAAGCCCAAAATACGACGTCGTTTATCATTTCCACTGCATCATCTTCTCGTCTCTCTCTCGCTCTTGCTCTAACCCTGCCTTGGTCCAGCATTAAACCCATCTCTCTCTCAATGAAGCATTCTCGCTTCAGTTCGCTGTTCAATTTGTATTCTCGTTTCGGTTTCCGAAACTTACCGGGCGCTTCGCTGTACTCGACGGCTACAGATCCCACATATCATTATAGAAAGTACTGGAATGGTGTCCTGAACAACCTCTACGGTCGGATTTCTCGAGTCGGAGATCGCAATGCATCCATTTTGCCGATTCTCGACGAATGGATCGAAGAAGGCGGAAACGCAGAGAAAGATGAGATGACCTCGTCACCATAATCAAGGAGCTCAGGGAATTCAAGAAATATAAGCACGCTCTTGAGGTAGGTACTAATTTCTGTTTGATTGCTCAGAAAGTGTGGAAATGGAATTCATTTAGGGTCTTTATTTGGTTTTTTATCTGTAATTTATCAAATATTATGTTCAACTCGGTAAAATTGAATTGTGAATGGATGGAAATTCAAATTATGCTATAGAGTAGCTTAAATTCTGTTAGCTTAACTGCTAAATGGGAGTGCTTTCATTGTAATTTGGAGGATTTAAACTGCTAATGGTGAGAGCAATGCTATATAGACTTCAAAATAAGTCAGCCCAAGTAGCAAAGTTTTCATCTTTTTCATCTTCTTCATATTTGGATTTCTGAAGAGAGATTGTATAGTATGTTGGCAACCCCAGATTCTGAAAATTGTTTTTGGTTTATTGATTCTCAGCTATCTATGTGGTTGACTGACAAAAGGTACTTCAGCCTTATCAAGGCTGATGTTGCCATCCAGCTGGACTTGATTTCAAAAGTTCACGGAATTGAACAAGCTGAGAATTATTTTGAAAACATTCCAAAACAATTGAAAGCTCACGAGGTTTACAGTACTCTCCTCAACTGCTATGCCCATGTAAAACTTGTGGAAAAAGCCGAGGCCACCATGCAGAAGATGAGGGATCTGGGGTTTGCCAGGACATCTTTGGTCTATAACGTTTTGCTCAATTTGTATTATAAGACTGGAAACACTGATAAATTTGACGTTCTGCTGAATGAAATGGAAGAGAGTGGCATCGGTTGTGACAGATTCACATATGGGATCCGTCTCAGTGCATATGCTGCTGCTTCTGATCATGAGGGAATTGACAAGGTTCTGGCAGAATGGGAATCCAGTCCTGGGTTCCAGGTGAATTGGACTAATTATTCCGTTGCGGCAAATGGTTATGTGAAAGTAGGAAATGTGGAAAAGGCTTTGGAAATGCTAGAGAAGTCTGAAAAACTGATATCAAGCTCTGAAAGACAGAGGGCAGCATATGAGCACCTCATTACTCAATATGCAGTACTAGGGAAGAAAGATGATGTTGTGAGACTCTGGGAACTTTACAGCAAGCACATGAAAATATACAATAAGGGTTATATAGCCATAATAACCTCATTCTTGAAGTTTGGTGATGTTGAAAGTGCTGAGAAGATCTATGAAGAGTGGGAATCCGGGAAATTAACTTTTGATATTCGTATACTGAGTCACTTACTTGGTGCTTATGCCAGAAGGGGCCTTTTTGACAAGGCTGAAGCCTTTCTTAACAGGGTAATACTTAAGGGTGGGAAACCGGATACATGGTCATGGTTTACTTTGGCAAGATTGGTTTAGGGTGTTTTGGCTGTCTGTTTGCGACACATGAAAAAGAGAGCAGATCTGGAGGGAGCTGAGGAGTTTATAAGACAGCTCGGGGATAAGTGTGTTATCACCGTAAGTCTTCAGGAGAGATTGTTGGATTATATTAATAAAGATGATTCAGTCTCTAGAACCAGGTGAAGTGGAATGGGATGATCTGAATGGAGATAAAGAAACAAGTGGCCCTTTAGAAGCCTAGGGGACTAGTAGTAGTTAGGATTAGAGACTCCTGAAAATTTAGGTAAAGGCAAGTCAACTGCAGGGACTTGTAAAGATGTGCTTGAGGATGAAGCTGACGTGTATTCAAGATATCATTTTTCTGTCAATGAAGATGTCGCTTTTGTTTCTCTAATCTGATCTTGGAGTTTGCTGCATATATAGAGGACTTGAATGAATTTTATTTTGTACTTTTCCTTCCTGAGAATTTATTTTTCCTATTCATGAAGATGCAGAAATTCCCTGAACAATTTTCTGGTACTATTGGCATGCTTGTTTCTACTAAAAACCACTCTTGAACTGCAACTTTGAGGTTCCTGAAGATTTCTGTGTATAAATAAGCTGTCATCTTCATACCCAACAAAGGGAAATTAATAATGAGCAGTAAAAAAACACAAACCCAACTCATTGAAAATTAATCAACAATTCCAGCAATTGAGATGTAGTGAAGTAGCGAGTGGAGAATAGCTCAATTGATTGAGCTCTTAAGCCTCAAACTCTGTGGACAGAGGCTCGAATCTCCCTCTCCAATTGCTTGTACTAAAAAGAAAATGCAGCGAAGTAATTAAAGCTCCTACTAAAAATAAGTGTGTTTAGTGGAGGGTAATATTGGTATTTTGCGTTTTATTTATTTATCTGATTCTGGATTTTATTAAGTGACAAAATAAACCAACCTCCTTTCGAAATCCCTGCCAAAATGGAACAAAACCTCTCGGCCCAAATCCTCCCCAACTCACTCTCCAACCACCAAGACGACGTCGTGGCCGCCGCCGACGACGACGACCCACCGCCGCCCCTAAGCCTTCAAGCCCTAGAAGCTCTCAAGGAGTTCCTAGCGGAGCAAAGCCAGCCCTTACCTGACGCCGCCGCCGAGAGCCGAGCCGCAGACTCGGCCGGTCCCGCCTCCACCCCCCCAGCCCGGCGGGCGGTCCC